AGTTTCCTTTGGTTTGTAAAGGTTTACCTCTCCAATTTTCAAAACAGTTTCCCAACAATTCACTTTTATAGATAATTTTTGCTTCTGCTGCTTTCAAGATGTTTCCAATGTTTAATTGCAATAAGCATTTTCCTTGCTTTCCTTGATATAATCATTTAATCCATGTTTCCCTTCTTCAACTATTTTACCTGCAATAAACCACAGCATCCTTTTTTTATACTAAGAATAATCAATCACTATCACTTTTTAAATATATGATTCAACGTAATCAGAAATTTTCAGAAATTTATCTTAATTTTCCAATTCAACTTGTGCCCAGTTTACCACATCAGCTGCATATCTAATTACTGGTATTAATATGTGTTTATGGCTTTGATTATATTTCACCATCGAACTTTGAATTTATAAATCTTTATTATTTAATATAAAAATTTATAAAACAAATTTTAACTACTAGTGGTAGTTAAACTGGAAACCATTTAGAAATATTTTTCAATTTACTTTTTATTTTTATATTGTTATATTTCTAAATGTTTTCCAATTCTATTAATATTATATTTCAAAACGTTATTTTTAAATAGCACAAAAAACTATTTAACAAATATATTTAACTAATATATTTAACTAATACATTTCAATAGATCCTTAGAAGCTTATTGTATGAGATAATTCCAGTGGTGGGATCCAATTTATTTTACTACCGGTTCTGTGGGCATAGTTTGATGGGCGTGGCTTGGTGAGTGTAGCAGGGGAAGGATACTGTAAAATCTCCATTCCTACCCCACTCCATGGGAAGGTTACCGCAAAATCCCCATTCCCTCCCGATCAGCTGGGATTTGGGAGGCAGAGAATTGATGGATGCGGGACCAGTCAGAGGAGGTATTTAGTGGTTCTTCGAACTACTCAAAATTTCTGCTACTGGTTCTCCAGAACTGGTCAGAACCTGCTGAATACCACCTCTGAATAATTCATATTAATTTCCTAATTTTTTAAGAAAACATTTAGAGACTGAACAGTCATCCATCAAGGATGGTTCAGTGAATCGTGCAACCTACAGGGAGTTGGACTTGATGATTTCTGGGGTACTTTCCAACTCAATGATTCTGTTGATCTTTAAAATATAAAAACCTGGTTAACACTGTTCAAACCAGGAAGAGAAACTAAAATGATAAATAATGTATTGCACTAATACTGTAGATTTAAACAGGTTAATATGGCATATAACTCTATTGACAATTGATAATGGCCAGGAAAGACAAATTATATAACAGTTGATTCTGGAAATGTCATAAGAAACAGAAACATTCTATCATCTTTGGTGTCTATAGATATTCTCAATCATCCAGGTCGCAGTTGTCCCAAAGGTGTTTTTATTCAAGAGGCAACTGGACTTTCTGGTTATTCTTTGAAGATGTTTCACTTCTTATCCAAAAAGATTCTTAGATGAGAAGTGAAACATCTTCAAAGAAAAGCCAGAAAGTCCAGTTGCCTCTTGAATAAAAGCACCTATGGCACAACTGTGACCTGAGAATCTCCACAGACATTTAGCTATGCACTTTGGGATGAACACACTTTGAATAGTGCGGGAATATGAACAGATTTCCAGAAAAATTGCAGACTACAGGAACTATTTGCCATTCAGTTTGAGATGCAGACAGCAGTGGCTCATCCCCAACAGCCTGTGCCTGTGCTCAACAGTGAAGGGACACAGGGCAGAAAACTTCCTGCAGAAAGCACAACTCCAACTTCTCAATGAAAAAGAGCTTAGTTTAGTTTAGTTTAATGAAATTTGTATGCTGCCCACTCCCATTGGGACTCTGGGCGGCTTACAGGCAAGATAAAAGCATTTTTAAAAATTTTAAAGTAAGAAATACAATATTAAAATTAACACAACATCCATTCTGTCCAAGAGGGGCTGGATATTAATCAACAGCCCCAGGCCTGCCGGAACAGCCAGGTCTTGGTGGCTTTATGGAAGGCCAGGAGAGTGGTGAGGGTCCGAATCTCTACAGGTAGTTTGTTCCACAGGGCTGGCGCAGCTACAGAGAAAGCCCTCCTCCGAGGGGCCGCCAGCCGGCATTGTCCGGTCGACGGTACCCG